AACTTGCTAAAAATGATGTATAGATGGCATTTGACGCCAGTAAAATTAGCTAAAATGTATAGGAAAAAAGAAAGAAAGTGTTGGAAATGCAAAAAGGCAGATGGGGACTATTTCCATATGTGGTGGACCTGCGATAAGGTAAAAAAAATTTGGGAATCAATTTATAATGAACTCAAAAAAATATTTAGATATACTTTCTCCAAAAGACCGGAAGCGTGTCTATTAGGCTTAATAGGAACAGAAATTAAAATAGAAGATCAAAATTTGTTCATGTATGCTACAGCTGCCGCGAGGACCCTTCTGGCCCAAAGATGGAAAGTACAAGATATACCAGGTGAAGTTGACAGAATATGCAGAACTTGCCAAACTGTCAGGGAGGATCCGGGACCAGGGAGATCAAAGATACCAAAATAACTGGAGTAAATTTATTGAATATTTAAAGAAGAATTGTAAAGAGGTCAAGACACTAGCAGGATTGACATAATACCTCCAATGTATAATAGTACTAATATGAGAATGATGTGTGTGATGGAAAGAGGATAAATATACCAGTTGTGGGGAGGGAGGGGGGTCGTGACTCGGCAGAGTCAAAGGGAATGTATGGTGCTATTACAATTTGTTGGAAAAGAATATGTAAGGAAAACAATAAAAATTCACTTGGCAAAAAAAGACTGGTGTAGTATGATATCAGCTGGCTACAACCATCAATATCCTGGCAGCCATGTTCATTACTAGCTGCAGCAACTGAATCATTATCAAGGGTAGTCCCTCATAGAGAACATTACAGCAGTCCATTTGGGAGATTCCGAAAATGAGTCTCTGTCAAGGAATTCTTGGGAAATTGTAGTAGTCGCTCCTCAATACTGATACCACTTGGGTATCTATCAACAATGCTGGATCTAGAAGCACCTTCAATATCTTCCTCCAGCACCCCCTTCACACCTGCTTTTTCAAGAGGAAGTCAACTGAATGCAGGCCAGGTCATCTAACTAGTTCCTGGACTTGAGAAACTCTGACCCACAGGAACTCCACCTTGTTGGGAATTAGCCTCATTTTATTAGCCCACATCCACCCTGTTAATGCCTGCGGGCAACACAAACATTCATTATCTAAGAGTCAACGACAAGCAGCCAGAGCAGTCTGACTGAGTCTTGTAGTTTTTCCTTGTTTCCAGCTGCCTGGAAAGTCTATGAACTTTAAACTTCTGCTTGCAGAGGTTGCCCCATTCTGGCTTTTTGCTAACAATTTTCCAGACACTCACAGAATGATCATTCCGTCTCGCCCTGGGGTCCCTGATGAGACAGGCAAGGCGATGCGTCAAAGCGATCTTAAATAATAGGTAGTGATTGGTATGAAATTACTCTACCCCACATGCTGTCTGCCAATTATGTGTGATTAATCAAGAGCATATGACTGCTGGAAGAAACACTGGTCCTGCCAAAAAAATCTTTAATTTAGCCTCTCTATAAACAAACAAACAACAGGGAGAGAGAGAGAGAGACAGGACAAGGAAGGTAACAAACCCGCAGCGCATATTTGCATAATGTAAGGCTCTGTTTGTGGAGATCAAGACCGCAACTTTTTATTGGTTTAAAAAGAAGCTATCCTGTAGCTTACTGTTAATCACTCCATGGCCTAGCGCTGATGGTAAAAACTGCATGAGGTTAACTGCCACATGCCATTTCTTTGTTTGTCACCTTCTTTGTTTGTCTCCTGGGTTTATCTCCCACTTACCTGATGCAAATTTATCCAGCTGCCTTGGAGAGTATTTATTATAAGAGATTATTAGGGACTTTGTCTTTTCCCCCTCCTCCCAAAGAAAGGGAGCTGCTGTCGAGATGTTATCATTGGCAGGCCAAAAAGAAGCACTGATGTGGATCTAAAACAATGCCAGGCAATTCTTCAAGGTGATGCATTTAAAACAAGTGACAACAGGGAAAGAGGGCAGGGCAATTGCAAGGGACTGGAGACAGTTATGGGATGTATTTATGGGGTAGGATGGAGGCGCTGCTAAGCCACTAACAAGCCAAGATGCAATTTTTATTAATGGATTGTCATATCTTGGATTTTCATTTGATGGGTGATCTCAACTTGACTCCTGGTGTTTGTTTTTCCTGGCTGGCAACTTGATGTAAAACATTTTAAAATCTGACAGGGCCAGGGGTGTAATCTAGTGTGGGGAACCTCAGGCCTGAAGGCCAAATGCAGCCTCCAGACCTCTCTGTTGGGTCCCCAGCCTATGCCTCACACTAGTCCTGTTTCACACAATCTTGTGTGTCTCTGTGTGTGTTTGGTCTAGCTTGAACTGTATTATCTCTTCCTTAGCAAGATGGATAGATGCCTTCTTCCCATAGTTGGGTCTTGCTTAGCTGGTTTGGGGATGGCAACACAAGAGCTGGGGGGTGGGTATCAAACATTGGCATGCCCCCCCCCACACACACACCAAGACAGTGTGTGGCCCACAGGTTCCATGTTGAAGTACTGTTGCAGCCCACGTGGTCTATTCTTTTTGAATAGGTTATATACCTCAGTTTCTACATTCCAGTCAGGAGTCAGATTCATCTATAGATGATGGAAATAAGGACTCCTATCCTCAAGGGGGAGTCCCAGAAGTGCTACTATCAAATGAATCGATGGGGCCTCCCCCTGGCCTGAGGTTGTGTCAGTACTATCCTCTGACTCAGAGAACTCTGCTGCAGAAGACCTAGAAGAACCTGAGGCACAACCATGCCATGGTAGTAGAATAGTCTCTCAAAGGACCTCTTGATGGCATTTTACCATTGTACTGTTGAGAGTGTATTAACTTATGGTCCGTGTGTGCGGTTTGGGAGCTGCACGGTCAGGGGAAAAACAATGCTGTCCAGGGTTGTAAAGATTGTGGAGAGAATAACTGGGTGCACTCTTTCCACCTTGGATCAAATCTACCCTTCCAGGTGTCATAAGAAAGCTGCAGAGATAGTGCAGGATAGTGCACACCCGGAAATGATCTCTTTCGGCTTCTGCCTTCTGGAAGAAGGTCCAGGGTTATAAAGACTAGGACTAGCTGCCTGAGAAACAGTTTCTATCCAAATGCAATTTTGGTTTTAAACGCAGTATAAGGTAGTCTCTATGAGGGTATATTGTATTTAATTATGGGGTATCAGAGTTTTTAGGGGGCTAACCAGGCTGGGATAACTGGGATAGCAGGCTTGTTGGTTTTTGAATGTCTGATGTAAATTTTTTCAATTTCGTTGTTCTGTATGGAACAATGACAATAAAGATTATCGTATTGTATTGTATTGTATTAGTAGAGAAGACTGGGCCCCTGGGCTCAATTTCAGCTTCTTTCTCACTGGACTAACATTAGGAATCTGTGTCCCCAGAACACTACCTGAGCCTTGCTTCCAGGCTACGGTCTGCCCTGCCTCCCAGTTTTGCCTTGCCACACTGCAAAACAAGACAGCTCTCCACATTTCCATGGTGAACATCCATAGCAAGGAATATTCTCCATTCATTTAGGCTCCCTTAGCAATTCAGAACCAGGAATAACCATGTCTGAGGGAATAAGGGACAGAGTAAAGTTTAGAATGATGGCCCTTTGCTTTGTCTGGTGGAGACGTGTCCACAACAGCCTTGTGTTATCCCACAACTCCCATTGCTGGTGCTTAGTGCCAAGTTCAGTATGAGCCGGGGGGAAGCTACAGAGTCACAAAAGCCACCTCTGAGGCTTGCAGAGGCTTGTATTCCCTGGAGATCACCCCATGCTGAAGATCTGTTTGCATGATTAATTCTGCAGGAATCAATCCCGACTTTTGCAAAACACTGTGCAAATAAGACCCGTAGCGCATCTTAGCTTCTCAACTCCCCTGTGATTAAGCAGCATGACTGACGGGCTCAGCCGAGAAAGTTTGGCCGGTGTTTAAAACAGTGATTATTGGATAAGCCCTATTAAATTGCCGCTCTGAGAAGGTTAACGTCCTGTCAACTAAAGGCATATCATTGTCCTTAATAATATCATTCTGGAGCCAGTAAAACTAGCTTCGCCATACAGTTAGTCAACCAATCTTTTAATGGGAGGATTGTGCTGTAATGACAGACTCTTTGAATATGGTAATTTCACTTTAGAAAACGTAGCCTTGCCAACAAAAGCACAGTAAGGAGCTTTAAGGATCAAATTATGGGATAAGTGATCTGGCATAATCGGAGATTTTAGGAGGCTAACAAAACAACATGCTTAACACGTTTGTGTGCCATCCTAATGTTCTGCTACAATTTACTTTGATCCACTGGGTGGAGGGAAATGATAATAAAAGTGGTTTCCTCTTAAGTCATCTAGTGATATGAACAGGGGTATTGGCTTCTTGGGGCCAAGGTTTTTTGCTCCCTCCTATATTTCGGGAATAGGGGCTGAGCCCCCCCCCCCCATGCCATAAAAGTGCAGAGTCGAAGAGCGGAGGGAAGTGCAGCCTGTCTCCAGCAGCCAGTTCCTTCTCCTCCTCCTTGTGCAGCACACGGGACGGTGGGTTGAAGTAGCCCCCTGCTGGTGGTGGTGCCAGGAGGAGGAAGAGGAGTCACTGGCCATTGAGCAGCACAATCACCATGTTTGGCTTCTCCCCATCTCCTCCCAACATCCTGACATCACACGTGCTAGGTCAGCCCCAACCATCAACTTTGCAAGCCGGCACCTCTGGACGCGAAATCATAGAATACAGTGGTACCTCAGGTTACAGACGCTTCAGGTTACAGACGCTTCAGGTTACAGACTCTGCTAACCCAGAAATAGTACCTCAGGTTAAGAACTTTGCTTCAGGATGAGAACAGAAATTGTGTGGTGGCAGCGTGGCAGTAGCGGGAGGCCCCATTAGCTAAAGTGGTGCTTCAGGTTAAGAACAGTTTCAGGTTAAGAACGGACCTCCAGAACGAATTAAGTTCTTAACCCGAGGTACAACTGTAATAGAATCGTATAATTGTACAGTTGGAAGGGACCGCAAGGGTCATCCCACTGCAACGCAGGAATCTTTCTCCCCCTGTGGGGCTCAAACCCACATCTTTGAGGTTAAGAGTCTCATGCTCTACCGACTGAGCATACAAAGAGCATAAAGCACAACTAGTTGTAGAATTCCTACTTCCTCCAAGTGTTTCCTCCTCCCTCAGCTGAAATTTAGATGGGACTTACCTTTCTGAGTATGCTACTCTGTATCAAGGATAGTGGGCTATGGGGCATGGTCAGATGTTGCTGCACTACAGCTCCCATCATTCCTGGGTACTGGCCATGCTTGCTAGGCCTGATGGGAGTTGGAGTTCTGCAACATTCGGAGGGCCAAAGGTTCCCTACACCTGTTGTCCCCCAAGGGTGTTCTGAGCTTTGCTGATCATAGTACAGTGGTGCCTCGCAAGATGAAATTAATTCGTTCCGCGAGTTTTTTCGTCTAGCGAATTTTTCGTCTTGCGAAGCACGAAATCCCATAGGAATGCATTGAAATCCAATTAATGCGTTCCTATGGTCAAAAAAAGTCCAAACAAAGCCAAATTTGATACAACAAGAGTTTATTAACTGCTCTTTAAAGTCACACATACTGTAAAGAGCATTTCAAAAATTGAAGGAACAATAAATTAAATTTCTAAACATGACAGGAAAAACATTTAAAAATCAAAAAAGGGTACATTACATTTTCTAAGACTCTGGGGGAACCACTCAAAGTAGGTTCCTCTTCCACTCTTTGCTTCTTGCTTAAGAACCTGTCCATGTTCTGCTGCTTCATCCGCCTTTTCAGCACCTCCCTGAAAGACGACATGACCCTTGTATCAAAAGTGTTCGCAAGGTCACGTGTCATGTGCTTGTCAGGGTGGTTCCGCTCTGCAAAAGCCTGCACATCCTTCCACTTCAGGGAAATGTGCCTCAGTTCTTTGGAGGACAGCCGTTCCTCAGTTGCTTCCTCCTCTTCCAGCGAGGCCTGCTCCTGCGCAGCCTCTGCCTGCAGTTCGACCAGCTCCTGGGTGGTCAGCTCGTGGTCGTGCTCCTCCACCAGCTCGCTGACGTCCTCCTCTGTGACCTCCAGGCCCATGGTCCTCCCCAAGGCAACAATGTCCTGCACCACTGTTGACTCTGGTGCATCAGAGTCACTTGGTGCCACACAGTCCGGCCACAGGCTGCGCCAAGCGCAATTCAAATTTCTCTGGCTGATCCCTTTCCAGGCCGTGGTGATCATCTTCAAGCAGGTGACGATGTCGAAGTGGTCCTTCCAGAATTCCTGCAGGGTGATGGTGGTGCAATCAGTCACCTCGAAGCATCGCCTGAAAAGCTCCTTGGTGTAGAGTTTTTGAAATTGGCGATGACCTGCTGATCCATCGGCTGGAGCAGTGGCGTGGTGTTAGGCGGCAGGAACATGATGTTGATGAAGCTGAACTCCTCCAACAAGTCCTCCTCAAGGCCTTTAGGATGAGCAGGAGCATTGTCCATCAGAAGCAAAGCCTTCAGCGGCAGGTCGTTGTCCAGCAGGTACTGTTTGACAGCAGGGCCAAAAGCAAGATTGACCCAGTCCACAAACAGCACACGTGTGACCCAAGCCTTACTGTTGGATCGCCACATGACACTCAGCTGCTCCTTGTCGACCTTGTGTTTCTTGAAGGCCCGTGGGTTCTCCGAGTGGTACACCAGCAGGGGCTTGATCTTCAGGTCGCCGCTTGCGTTGGCACAGAAGAGCAGGGTCAGACGGTCCTTCATGGGCTTGTGGCCAGGCAACTTGGCCTCCTCCTGAGTGATGAAAGTCCTTTTGGGCATCCTCTTCCAAAACAGCCCGGTCTCGTCGCAGTTGAAGACCTGCTGTGGAACGTAGCCCTCCGTCTTCACAACCTCCAGGAACTCCACTGCAAAGTCTTCAGCCGCAGGAACATCAGAACTGGCAGCCTCTCCATGCCTGACCACGCTGTGGATTCCAGATCTCGTCTTGAACCGGTCAAACCAGCCTCTGCTTGCCTTGAAGACTTCTGGCTCGCCTGAGGTTCCTGGCTGTTCCCGGATGAGGTCTGCGTGCAAGGCCTTGGCCTTCTCACAAATCACGGCCTCAGTCACTGTGTCCCCTGCACGCTGCTTCTCTTCTATCCAGATGAGGAGCAACTTCTCGACCTCCTCCAGAACAGCTGGGCGGTTCTTCACGATCCTGGTGACTCCCTTGGCTGCATCAGTCGCAAGGATCTTCTCCCTCATCTTCAGGATGGTGCCGATGGTCGATGGGTTCCTGCCGTACTCCCTGGCGAGGTCTGTCACACGCATTCCACCGTCGTGCTTCCGGATGATCTCCTTCTTCATTTCCAGCGTCACCTTCTCCTTCTTCCTCTCGCCGGCCTCTGCAGCAGCAGTCTTCTTGGGTCCCATGGCAGCACAGCTCCTAGCTTCACAAACTCAGAAAGAAAAAAAAAAAATCAGTGATTCAGACCCAAAAATTCAAAAGCACCCAGCCACCCACCACACAGGAATTCAAACCCTGAACCAAGTCCTTGAATTCCAAGCACCCAACCCAAAATCCAAAACCCCCCAAAAAAGTTTTAAAAGTTTAACTTAACTTACGAAATGGCTGCAAATCACCAAAGTCTTCAAAATCCTCAAATGGCTGCAAAAGAAGTTTTGGAAAAGCTTTAAAAATCACCAAAGTCTTCAAAAACCTCAACTGTTCCCCCAGCCACCCACCCACCACACAGAAATTGCAAACCCCTCCCCAACTGTTGCAAACTCCTCCCCAACTGTTGCAAACCCCTCCTCAACTGTCCCCCCAGCCACCCACCACACAGAAATTCAAACCCAGAAATTTTTTTTGAAAAAAAACAACATGGCCCAATGGTCACAGAAAATCATAAAAATTCCAAAAAAAAACCCACACAAGCTCCCAGATTCTTGCAAACCCCTCCTGAACTGTCCCCCCAGCCACCCACCACACAGAAATTCAAACCCAGAATTTTTTTTTTTTTAAGTGCCCCAATGGTCACAGAAAATCATAAAAATGCAGAAAAAAACCACACAAGCTCCCAGATTCTTGCAAACCTCTCCCCAACACCAAGTCTTTGAATTCCAAACACACCAACCTAAAATCCAAACCCCCCAAAAAAAAGTTTTAAAAGTTTAACTTACCAAACAGCTGCAAAAGAAGTTTTGGAAAAGCTTCAAAAATCAGCAAAGTCCTCAAAAACCTCAGAAAAGGCTACCACACCGCGTGCAATGTGTTGCTCCTCGAAGTCAAGTCGCAACTGCACCTCTTCCAGCAATGCACCCTGGGTATTAACGGTTTTACGAAAAAGGAAACAAACTTGCAAGACGTTTTCGTCTTGCGAAGCAAGCCCATAGGGAAATTCGTCTTGCGAAGCGCATCGAAAAACGGAAAACCCTTTCGTCTAGCGAGTTTTCCGTCTTGCGAGGCATTCGTCTTGCGGGCACCACTGTAATAGTTCTGAGAACAAATATCTCAACAAGGAGCTTCCTATTCAGGAAGCAAATTTAGAATTGCATTATATACATTGGCAAGTTTCTTTTGCTATCAGCACCAAGGTGGAAGGGAAAGAGTCAGTTAGATGATGCTAATAATTTCAAGCAAAGTTGGGTGCACCCAACAGTTGCCATATATGGGGGGGGGGGTATAGTTTTTTGGGAAGGGGGGTTCCATGCATTCCATGTAGAAGCACCTAGATTGAACCTCTGGTATCTCCATTGAAAATGGCCTCAGGCAGCATATTTGAACACTGCCGATCCACTAAGCATTTAATGTTATCAAGCTGAAATTCATGACAGTATTGCCTGCCCTGAACTCTTTGGACAATGTGATATTTGAAATCAAAATACCAATGCATCTAGTGTGGACAAAACTATGTGCCATCACGATGCATTTGTTGAGCATATCTGTCACTAAATGTCTCAATCAAAGGGCCCCCAACATACCACCTGACATAAATTTTCACACTGCAGACAAAAATCATGTTGGCACTCAGTAGGTTCAGCGTACTTGATTGCAACAGGTGGCTAAAATTAAGGATATGTAAATGTCTCAACTCCATTTTTAAATTAAACACCAGTTCTGCCTTTTTATACTGTATTCAACTGTGGCTGTGTCATCCTTGCATAAATCAAGCTGGAGGATATTCTCAGCTTCCCTGAGGGTGATCAAATTGGTGGCTGTGGATAAGCTCTCGTGTAATGTTCCCTAACATTAAGTAGCCTCAGTGGGATGCCATTGGCCTGGTTGATAGCTATATGAAATGACTAATGGGGATAAAACCAACTTGACAGCTCATAGAATCTTAGAATTGTAGAGTTGGAAGGGACCCCAAGATTCATCTAGTCCAACCCCTTGCAATGCAAGAATCTCAGCTAAAGAACCCATGACAGATCTATGCATCCAACCTCTGATTAAAAACCTCCAAGGAAGGAGAATTCGCAACCTCCAAAAGGGATACTGTCCCACTGCTGAACAGCTCTTACTGTCAAAGTTTTTTCTGATGTTTAGTTGGAATTTCCCTTCTTGTAACTTGAAGACATTGCTTGGAGTCCTACCCTTCAGAGCAGGAGAAAATAAGCTTCTTCCCTCTTCCACGTGACAGCGCTTGAGCTATTTGAAGATGGCTATCCTATCTCCTCTCAGTCTCCTCTTTTCCTGGCTGAACATACCCATCTCCTTCAACCATTCCTCATAAGGCTAGGTAAGTTCTTGGAATAACTGTGCCAGTTGTGAGGTGACTACAACAATTGTACTTCAGTGATCATTCAGAAGTGGAGAATGCATACCCACAGTTCAAAGATTACAGCAGGCAAGGATTGACTAAAACATCCATGCTCTACCCTTGAAGATGATCCAGAATGGTGTAGCCTTCTTTGAAGATAGCATGAGCTGTCAAGAGCTTATTCAACCAGTCCTTTGACAACCCAACTGGCTGCCATGTTCCCCCCCATCAAATCAGAGTACAGATGATCATCATTCTCCTGCCAACATACAGGTAGCGTTGTAGCCCATGACAGTTCTTATCAGAGTGAATCCATTAAAAATGACCACGGCTAACTCAGGTTCATTAATTTTACTGGGTTTACTCTGAGTAAAATTTAGCTGGCTACACTT